GGGGGGCTCTGCTGCACTGACCCCCACACACACATCCCCCCAGGATCAGCTGCTGGCGGAGATGGAACGGATGCAGATGGAAATCGACCAGCTGCGGGGCCGACCCGTCTCCTCCTACTCCAGGTACCGGGTTGATACCGTGCCCCCCTCCCCCCCGGCTCCTGGTCCCTGGCAGACCCGGGCGGGGGGTTACTGGCAGGATTAAAGTGGAGGAGGGGGCACCTGAGGGGGGTGGGAGGGAAGGGAGGGGTTCTGGGGGGGGTCTCCTCGGGGGTGTTGGTTTCCTGGGGGGGGGAGGGCAGGGTGGACAAAAATGGATGATTTAGAAAAGAAACCAAATCCAGGCTTATCGATGCCGGTTGGAACCATTGAGACGAACGAAAGCCGCAGAGCGGGAAGTTTGCGGCCGAGTTTGGCCGGAAGCCAGTGCGGAGTTTGGGGAGGGGTTAAAGCCGCCTGGGGGAGAAAATTCCCCTCGGTTCAGTTTATTTGGCTAGGTCCCTTCAGTGCCCAGCTCAGCCTAGGTCAGGAAACCGATGGGGGTTTGGAAAAGCAGAAGAGCTGGTTTTCCTCTTCTGATCTCTGCCCAAAAACCCGGCGAGGGAATTAGATCCGCTCGCTCCAAACGCGGGACGTTGAATTCACGGGTCACGGCTTACAAATTAATAAGTGTTCAATTCAGCTGGTTTCACAAGCAAAACGGGTCTCGGCAAACTTTATTATTAACGTGTCCGGCACGGTTTTATTTTGCTAATTTAAAAAAAAGAAAATGCTGGTTTGGTGCATTTTAAATTGAAATTTACTTTCAAATCTAGCTTGACACAAAGCGCAAGTTTTAAAAAAAAATCTAGTAAAGAAGGAACGCGTCGTTCACCATTTTCTAAGGTTGGATGAGACGGAAAAATGAATCTGAATAAATCTGTGTAATTGCCTAAAAAACCGGCCTAGCTACAGCTCGGGCCGTTTTGTTTAAAGATTTTCTGGGAATTGATTTGTGTTTGCTACAAAAATTAAAAATACGGGTGCAGTTTTCTGGGTAAATATCAGGGATATTATGGGGGAGCGAAGGCAGCCCAAAGAGATACTCCTGGGGGAATTCTGCGCCAAAAAATTAAAAATTCTGCGCACAATAGTTTAAAATTCTGCAAAGTTTATTTGTCAGAATAACACAATATAATCACACCAGTTTCAATTATTTTTGGTCCTTTATTTCAAAATCCCCGTCAGCAAGTATGTCTGTAACAATACAGACAACAAAAAAGATTCAGAAAATGTTTTTTGACAAGTAGATGTCTTACTAGGCATATTAATACAAAACTCTGAGCAATAATTCATTGAAACTACAATACAGAACCGTATTTCCCGCACCCCCGAGAAGCGGTGCAAAGGCTGGGGGGAGTCGGGTAACGGAGGAGCTGAGGGAGAGGGAAGTAAATGGCTGTGAAGGAGCCTGGGTGTGAACAGTATAGAACAGGTTATTTTGGGAGGGCAGGGAGGGATTGTTCGGGAGCTTCCCCCAAGCAGACCCTGGCTGGCCCCTAGCCTCTCCCATTCAGTCAGACACGTGTCCCTCCACCTCCACTCAGACATCCACTGCCCCCGTCCCCATGTGGCCCTGCGTCTCCCTCCCCCCTGTGGCCCTGCGCCTCCACTCCCATTCAGCCCCTGCCCCAGTCTGTCCTCTCCCACTAGCCCTTATGAGCTCCATCTGACCCCCCGCCAGCAGCCCCACGTTGTCTGTCTCCTCATAGCCCCTGTCTCCTAACCTGGCCCGCGAAGAAGGCTCGGCTGGCTCTTTCTCTTCCCTAGCTGGCTGGGAGCTGCGGCTTTGTTCTATCGCCACAGCGTCCTCTGGTGACCAAAAGGCGGAACTGCAGCAACTTTTCAGCCGAAGCTTTTTTGTTGCGCAAAAAAATTAAAACTATGCGCAATTCATTCATTCTGCACACGTGCAGTGGCGCAGAATTCCCCCAGGAGTAAAGAGAAAAGCGAAAGCCGTGAAAAGCAGTTTTACGCTGTATGTTAGCTGTACGTGCGCATCGACCCATCTGTGTCTTCCGCTCCAGCGCCGTACGCTAACAGAGCATCTCATGGTTACCGACTTCACTGTTCACATGATGGCAGCTACCAAATGGAACGGGCTTTTCCTAACAGAATCAACATTGTCGCACGTGCTCGAGCGGTCGAAAATTCAGGGGAAAATCCGTTAAAATCTCCCTTGAATAATAGATCTTGGGGAAAACCCTGGGATTTTTCCTTAACCCCTGAAGAGACAGAAGGGGAGGGCGGGCGGCCAACATGTTGCTTGGGCTGGAGGATCTTTCCCCGACGTGCGATGGGGACGGCTGGCGTCCGAACCGGTTTTAATTGTCTGCCGTTAATTGTCTGACTTATCCGCCCATCTTTTCCCATCGCCGTGAAAACTGGAATGGATCCAAATTGGAAAAAAAAAAAAACCCCGATGTTACCCCTCGCAGCAAACTCCTCCCCCGTCTGCTCCCCAGCCCCCACTGTGTCCCCTCCCCCAACCCCCAGCTGGGCGGTTCACGCAGCAAGTGGGGAAACTGAGGCAGGCACCAGTGTCCCGAACACAGTATTGTTCCCACAGGTCCCTTCCGGGCAGCGCCCTGGAGCTGCGCTACTCCCAGGGCCCCGCCCTGCCCGCAGACCCCTACGCCGGCGCCCCCCGCAGGCACAAGAAGGGGCGCTGGGCTGTCAAGGATGAAGCCACTAAGGTGATGGGGCGGGGTGGGGCAGGGGACTGGCTGGGAGGGCAGGTTTCTGGCTGCTACTAACTGTGTCCTTTATCTCTCCCGCCCCGGATCTGCCCCCACCCCTGGTGAGTACTCAGCCATCTCTTACTCTCGGGATGGGGGGCAGGGCTGGAGGGGGGCTAGGGGCAGGGCTGAGATCACCCCCCACCCCTGGTGGCCCCCAGGAATGGGGGGGCCCTGTGCTGCAGGGGGGCGGGGCAGTGGTGGCGTGTGCTGTGGGGGGGCGGGGTGGTTGTGGGGGGGGCTGTGCTATGGGCGGAAGTTTGGGGGTCTGCCCCATCTCACCCTCCCCTCCCCCCCCCGCAGGCCCCCCAGGAGTGGGAGCGGGCGCAGCAAGCAGGGGGGCTGGCCCAGCCCTTCGAGGGGGGGCTGGACGGGTCGGACGAGGAGGAGCGCGACCCCCTCTTCGGCTCGGCCGACTTGCTCTCGCCCAGCGGGCAGACGGACGTGCAGACGCTGGCCATCATGTTACAGGAGCAGCTCGAGGCCATCAACAAGGAGATCAAGTGAGACCCCCCTTGGGACCCCTGGAACCCCCCTGAATGACCCCCTGCGACCCCCTGAACCCGCAGCCCCTGGGACTCACCACCTCAGGGACCCCCTCTGAACCCCCTGGGACCCCCCTACCGCCCCAGGGACCCCCCGGGACCCTCACATCGCCCTGGAGATCCCCTCTGAACCCCCTGGGACCCCCCTACCGCCCCAGGGACCCCCCGGGACCCTCTCATCGCCCTGGAGATCCCCTCTGAACCCCCCAGGACCCACCTAACACCCCAGGGTCCCCCTCTGCACCCCCTGGGGACCCCCTCAGCAGCTTCTCCATCCCCCATAACCACCCCACAGCTGAGGGATTCCCTGGGGCCCCCACGGCTGGGGCCCCCCCCTCTTGGCCGTCCCCCCCCCCCCCCAGGCTGATCCAGGAGGAGAAGGAGTGCACGGAGCTGCGGGCCGAGGAGATTGAGAGCCGGGTCAGCGGCTCGGCGCTGGACGGGTCCCTGGGCCGGTACCGGGCCGGCGCCTCCATCCCCCCGTCCGTCACCAGCTCCACCCTGGCCAGCCCCTCGCCTCCCAGCAGCGGGCACTCCACCCCCCGCCTGGCGCCCCACAGCCCTGCTCGCGAGGGAGACAGGATGGTGAGTATCGGCTCCCCCCCCCCCAGGCACCGCCAGCTCCCCCTCCCCAGTGGGGTGTCCTGCCCCCCCAGGCACCGCCAGCTCCCCCCCAGAGCGGGGTGTGTCCCCACCCCAGCACTGTGAACTTCCCTACAGCAGGGCCCAACAACCCCCACGCTGCGAGCTTCTCCCTCCCCAGCAGCGTTCCCACAGCGGACGGGACCCCGGTGCTGCGCGCTTCCCTAAGGCAGTGCCCTGTGCTTCCCCCCTCAGAACCACGTGCCCAAGGAGGAGGGGCGTGGGGCGGAGGAGAAGGCCCTGGTGCCCTGTGAGACGCCGCCCCCCGCCACCCCCCGCACCGCCCGGCTGGAGCGGGTGAGCCAGGCCCTGGCGCTGCAGGCCGGAGCCCTAGAGGA